TAAAAAAATAAAAAATGGTTTCGTTAGAGCAATGAGTTTACCTTATTAGGTTTAACCAAGTTTGATGAAGTAACTAAGTTTCTTTTGCTTGAATAACTGGAAATAGAAGTCGTTGAGATCTCATAACGGAGAAGTGTACAAGGAAATGCGTGAAATTATTAACATTGCGTGATAGTATAACAATTTTAAAAGTCTACTTGGTGAACTACGTGTTTGATGGCAATAAATAGAGATGATAGTGACATATCAATATATATGTATATATTATTTTATATATTTAAAAAAAATCCATATTTGCATTTTTAGTGTTACAATGCTGTATAAACAAAACAATTTTTCACGTAGAGAAAATAAGAGTTTTAGAGATAATATATTCAATTTAATTATACCTGTGTAAGCACTTATGAAAACTCGGAAAGTTTGATAAGGTGTAGGAACAAAGACGCAAAAATCTAAAAACGCAAAAATTTCGCCATTTTTGCGTAGCTTGTCCCTACTGAAAAAACAGGTAAGCGATTTAGAAATTCGGCAAAGGACTGTTTTTGTCTATTTTAAATACAGTAGATCTAAAAGTATTGATTACACTATAAACTTGCACTACACCATTCGTTGACCTTAACACTTAAACCACTTTATTCCTGTGGAACTTGTATAATCTTTAATGTTAAGCTCCTTCTACAGCCTATCAGCATCGTTAATGCCACAAGACTTATGCAAATTGAGATCTATGGATCATCAATTAGAGGTCACCAACTTTCAAAATAACGTACAGTATATGTTGCAAACCAAATTCGGTTGTTCATTAGTAAATAATATTATTTCACCTTGTGTCAATTAGTTCGGGTTTAGAGCGAGTGATCGAAATGTCCGAGTCTTTTCCGTATCAAAGCTTAAAATTGTACACGACACGTAATTTAAGGATATCATTTGATTTATATATCCTTTACGAGTTATAAAGTATATTTTCTATATTCTCCTTGAAATATTCCTATAAGTGCGTATCTATATACACACTTATTTTTAACTCACCGGGGAAGCAAGTATCTACATACGTTACTCTTTGAGCTTAAATTTTTAAACAGCTTTAATATTTAGTTAACCAATCAGTTGTAATATTTTAAGTATAGCTCTATGATGTTTTTTTTTATACGCTCTACAAATTGCTATTTGAAATAGCTTCTTTCATTCATTCATCATTATTCTAGCTATTACAATGGTTATTTAATTTACTGCCATTTTTTTTACAACGCAACATTAGATTTCTCGTGAAAGTATTCAATACAATTCGAAAAAATAAAAAAAAAAAAAACCTGCTAAAAGCGCCATCTGACATTTCAATTAGTTACTTTCATGTTATCTTTACAAAATTTCCTACCATGAACTCGTAATTAAGTGCTTTCATAGCGAGTTCTCAGTAATGTAGACGCCTCACGGTAGATGGCGCAACTTGTTCCAGACTAGTAACTTTCACATATTATAGTAGATGGCGCTTTAGTCAATCGCATTTTTAATACAGATGAAGTTGCTCCTTCTTTTTTTTTCCATTGCCTATAGTAAATAACTCTCTGCTAGTATTGTTAATAAAACAAGTTTTTCAATTTTCCTACCAGTCATATAAATCTAAAATCAATTAATGTTAGTAAAAATGTTACAAATGTGAAAAGGATAAACAGTGGCGTAGCTAGGTAACCTAGGGCCCTGGGGCAAATAAAAAAATGGGGCCCACTGCTCGAAAAAAAACTTGACTGGAAGTTCACAATAGCGAATCACAAAAACGCATATCGATAAATAATAATATGCAGATATTGATATCCGACATTTGATAAAAACATTAACAATACTGTCAACCCACACAAATAATTTAAGGGAATACCTATTTATAACTCTGGAATATCTTACAACTGAATTGCCATGATTAAACTCAAGTTGTCACCTGTCATATTTATTTTGAAAATGGGAGAAATTTTCAAAAGTTGAGTTTGATTGAGATTTTCTGATAAAGATTCGAGGGCCCCCTGAGCTTGAGGGCCCCGGGGCACTGCCCCGCCTAGCCCCTTGGTAGCTACGCCACTGAGGATAAAACAATGATAGACACTTTTTTCGTATTATCACGAAAAATTGTATGAATTTTTTGATTACATAATCATAAATTAGATGAGTCAGTATTCCAAGTCATAATTGATAATTCTGAGATTTTAAATAAATGAAATCATCTTTGTTGGAAATCATATTAATCTGATAAGTATTGATAATCCTCTCTCATAATTTGGAAGTACTCTTTTTATACGTGTTTGAATACAGTCTACCTGTTAGTGTAAAATCACAATGAAATGCCTCAGTCACGATCAAGGTTTCCAATTTTATGCCAAAATAGATTTACTTCGTAAAAACTGTTCGATTAGCTTTTTAATTATATTTTGTATTATTATGAAATTTTCCTATCTATACAATATAATCAAAGATAAATGCTTAAAAATGCACTTTGTCCCCGGTTCCCTGAGTAGGGATTCGAAGGTTGTGGCTTCGAGGATAGAGACCGAGGGACAAAGTGAATTTTTAAGCAATGCAAAATTTATCAAATATAACAATAATAAAAGATAGAATTATCTTAAAATTATAAAGATTGAAATTGTTTATTTTCTTACATTGAATCGGTTACTAAACTTAGGTACTGAACCGATTTTAAAATTTCTTTCACCTACTGGAGGCTACCTATATGCGGCTGACATCAGCTTTAATATTGGAAACAGCTAATCTGAAATAATTTTAATATTTTTGTTATTAAATAGAAAAGTAAAATCAATATTTTATATTTGTACACAATAGGCTAAAATAAACTATAATAGGTTGTTTTTGTTGCAATCGTAGAGTAAATAGAAATCTAGTTACAAAGCCGTTTGTTAAACTTTATTTTTGTATTTAATTGCGAAAAAAAATTAATATAACAATAAAAATTTATTTTATTTTATAGAATCATAATATCGACTATCTTTTATATATGTACTAACTTACTTACATACCTGCTTCTATGTAAAGATGGCTTCAATTTGTTTACTATCAGAACAGTTATCAAAAGCATGTTTTTTTTCTTTTAATATCTTTTACTTTTAGTTATTTTATTAGACCCTTTCATTTCATATGAACATACACACCTATATGCCTATATATATATACATATTAGTTTATATTATTGTTATATATATAACAAATTAAACGTACCTAATCTGCTGAAACGCCGATACAAATGCTTAGCAAGTACCATTTTAAAAAGTATAATGATATCTTTATATATGAATATATGAAACAATAAATAAGTAGTTATTTTGTCTGGGCTCGCTCGATACGATACAAAATATTAAAAAAAAATACATATAGTGAAACAAGCCATTTTAGCCCCACTTTGGTCTGCAATGATGGTGGACTTTTTGAGTAATAGAAGTAAATATATTAAAATGAAACACAACAATAAAATTTCCATTATGATTTTCTTTACTTGCTTTGCGATTTAAGTAATGTGGTTTTGTTACTCAATTACCAATTATCATTGATAATGTCAAAAATTCCAATAAAAAAATAATAAGTTACAGTAAGCTGCATTGTGAGTAAAATTATTAACTGAATCTCAACATTCTGGTTCTGTAAGCCCAAACGCGTTGGCCGTGTAAAATTGACTACCCGTCCAATGGATCTTGTTTAATTTTTTTTCCTCGTCGAAGATGTATCAGAGGCATTATCCTGGAGGCTACGTTTCGGGCGCAAGGCACGAGGAGCGCGGGCGGGATGCGTGCGCATAACTTCGCCATGACGTCACAAGGGCCTGGTAAAAACCGTGAACCCGCGCAGTCAAGGTCCTCAAACATTCTGCATTTACATATTATATCTACGTATCAAATGCGTTTAGTTTCTTATAATGTGATTTGAGAACCATATACTTATATGATTTAATTCCTGTCTAAGATTCGAATTATGCGAAATCTTTGAGTGCAATGAAATGGACGTAGGCAATATCCGGACGACATTCTAACGAATCATAAATCTGTTCTGTTCAAGATCTAGAATAACCTCATTTTTGGTGGCGTCACATGATATAATGGCGATGTAAACGACTTTTAACGGTAATTTCAAAGGAAAACACGACTGTCGTCTCCGACGAGAGATCGCTCTATCGTGTTGCTACAGTTAGTATAATATACAATTAAGTTAGATTAAAATCTGGCTTTCAATTTGTTAAATGATTAATTTGTAAGTGACAGACTGTATGTAGTAGGTATAGAGCAAGTAATGCCATTCGATTAAAATGTAATGTACCGTTAAAGCTTTTTATCTCATTTTAAATTAAACGAAGATTGATACTATCGAATTCTATAAGTGATCTAAAATTTTGTTCTTGTTTCATATCGACATATTATATCTCTAATATGTCTTGGAAACGATCAAACCGTTTGATTTAAAAGCTCCCATTATTAAAAGTTTCTGGACATTGTGGATTTTATGAATCAAACAGGCAATAAACAAAATTGTGGTACTTAATCACTAATAGTGCTATTAAAAACAAGGTTTAGCGTCAGAGTAAATTTACGCTAAAATTGCAATTTTAGTATTAGTCCAAATACATATTACACAGAGAACAAGCAAACCTATTACTTTCCAGGAGTAACTATTATTCATGTAGAAGGTTCTACGTACTAGGTTAACCTTTGCTAAGTCTGTCTTATAATATGATTGAATACTTAGTGCAGTCTCAACGTAAATTTATTCCAACTTGTGTATTAAACGGAGACTTAGCAAAGGTTAACATAGCACGAGGTTATACAATTTGCTTATTCTCTGTATAATGTGAATTTGGTCTAATACTAAAATTACAATTTTAGCGTATATTTACTCCGACACTAAACCTTTTTTTTAATAGCACTGTAAGAAACTGTCTTACTTTAGTTTTGATACGTTATAATGCTCGGAGAATATAAACAACTAAACTTTAGGTGTTTCTTTCTTTATAGGTTATGGTAGCTGGACATAGTACGGTGGCTGAGATCGTATGTGAGCCTCTCCAGGAGACCGGTGCAGTAGTAGCAGGGCTTCCTACAGGGCCATTATCCGCGCCTCAAACTGTACCTCTCTCAGGCCCTTTACCACTTCCTTCAATATCATCTCCGTCCGCTCCGCCGGCAGCCCTTCTTTTCCTGGGTGGGTCGAAAGCTCCTGTTGATCCCAGAGCATCAGCCACATCATTAGAAGGCGAAGTCCTTGTGGTAGAATATCAACCTCCACAATGGGACGGCAAGGACCTCGAATCTTTCATTGCCTGGGAGAAAATTTACGGTCAGTATTACATAAATTATTCATATGACAGTTACATTAGCAATTTTTATAATTTTTAACTAGATGCACATAAATGACTTATGATGACGTAATTTTTGGATAGACCCCGAAATATTATAAAATTCTTTCATCTACGGGGATATAGACTATAATATACGCAGAAGTCACGGGTAAACGGCTAGTTTGAAAGAAATTAGTTCACATATCTACTTACATAAAAAAATATACATATTCCTTGAACACAGAAAATCCTCCTTTTGTTCGGATTTTGAATGAATGCAAAATACGCATTTTCTTTGTTTTTTTCGCAGATATAAACAGGTCATCCAAATAATAGGGGTTAAAGTATGAAATTGCCGATTTGTACTGAAAATCAAAATTGTTTATATTCCAATTTTTAACAAATTGATTTAATCAAAATAGTTACCATTATTTTTTATACATTTCTGCCATCTTAAGGGAAGGTTATTTATGTCTTTGCGATAGAACTTTGAGAATCTAGACTGCACAAACTGTGAAAGCTTCTACTGCGTCCTGGGAAGAAAACTTCTTGTCACGTAGATAATTGTCCAAATCACAAAGAAATGGTAGTCCATTGGAGCAAGTCTGACGAATACGGAGGATGACTGATGGTTTCTAACTGCAGTTCCTGAAGGGTCAAACGGTTTCTCGTGCTTTATGAGGTCTCGCGTTGTCATGGAGCAATAATGGTGAAGATCGATTCATGAGTCGGGGCTGCTTTACTGCTAGTTTTGCCAACATTGTTCGGAATTCGGCACAATAGACATCTGCCGTTATTGCTTGACCAGATCGGAGAAAACTATAGTGAATAACACCATGCTGAGACCACCAAACAGTTACCATTACCCTTTTATTGGTAAGGTTTGCTTTAGGACACTGGTGTGGCGTTTGACCCGAAAGCGTTTAAACCAAAATCGCACGGTGCGTTCATTAGCAGGCCCCTCTCCAACCGCAGCATTGATATTGCAGGCTGTTTCTGTCGCGTTACTTCCGTGTTGTTCCTTCCGTTCCGTGAACTCGTAATCAAAAATCACTCGAATTTTCGCAGTATCTATCTTTCTTGTCTAAGTTGAATCTCTAAAACAATTGGAAGTCGTATTCAAATGTTTCAAATTTTTTAAAAGAAGAATATCATAGAAACCTTGTGAGAAACTGTCTCTTTCGAAAACCTAAAAATATGAAGATTTTATGTTAATTCAAGGAACCTATTACAATAAAACGGCAATTTCATACTTTAACCCCTAATGTTTAGGTGATATCTGATGAAAAACACATTTGTTTTGTTATAAAAGAGAACAACAGACTCGATTTCGTTAAAATTTAAAGAGGACCACTCCGATCCATTACGCTGTCGAATAAAAAAGAACTTTGAAAATCGGTCAAAATTTCGCGTAAAAAATCAGTGAACATACATAAAAAAATACATCGCCGTTGAATATAGAACCTCCTCCTTTTCGATTTTGAAGTCGGTATAAAAATATGTAATATCATACTCACTTAGTAGCGATCCACGATTGCGATGCAACGACATTCGTCATTCAGTATTCCGCGTGCGGACAAGTGATGTTAGTAGAAAGCGGTTTGGCAATAATGAGAAGCTAGCCGTTGTACTGTAATCTTTCGCAGAAGTGCCTTGTATGCGCATTAAACTTGCAACTGTCGTGATCGCCATTTTGATATTAGAATTGATGAATAGCATACATACGTTAAAATTGCAGAATATATGACACTGCAGTGACTCAATGAAGTACTACAACTCTTTAAATTGCGTATTAAACCAAATGACATGAATGACATGAATTCACTAAGTAAAATACTAAAACTTCTTACTTAGTGATAGTTCATAGTAGTTAGAATATAGGTGATGTATAAACTTTATAGAACCATATAAAGGCTTTTAGTGAATTAAAAATGTATTGAAAAGAAGCATCATGATATATATTAATAATATAAACACATAAATCTCTTTCGAGATAAAAAAATACTTTTAACTTATTGATTAACAATAACAAGTTGATAGTTCAAGGAGTCAAAAATGTCTGGGTCATTCGTGGATGAGCCGACAAGGTGAACTGAACAATCCAATTCGATTGATATGTAATCTTGTATATAACGTCTAATAAAGTTTCGGGATAAAGTTTTAGGTATAAACATCATCTATCCTATAGAGTTTGGATATTAATCATCATGAAATTCTGTAACAGAACTAACTTTGTTTTAAATACTATATATGAATGTTTTAATTTAGTTTTCCTTTTGTGCCCGACATCTAGTTTAATTATTCATTGAATAAATTATAATCAAACTTTCTCATTAATTGCAGCTGCAACATTGTTTTCGGCGTTGGAGTTATATGGAAAACCGTTGCTGCGAGCTGCTGTCATCACAAAAGAAGAGTTTCATCTACTATTTTATTACCTACAATCAGTTTCTGAAGCTAGCGAAGCACTAACTGAAAGAATGAGAAAATATATTGACTCGGGGTTATTAATGATTGAAGATAAACAAAAAGAAGACGATACTTTATCAGTAGCTACAAAGAAATCATTGGAAGAAGAACCGAAAAGTATTTTGAATGAATTAGTCAAAGAAGGACTTATATCCCAGCATGATATTGATGCAGTTTCAGAAATAACTAATTCAGAGCACAATGAACAAGTAACCGATAATCATAAATCAGACGATGACAATGGTTCCAGTATTTCTTCCATAAGTGCTGGTCTCCGAAAGGTGATAGTAGACATACCCATAGACTGCAATGAATCTGTAACAGATAGCTCCATCATAGAATCAAGCGATAACGTGACAACTGTAACGATAAGAAGCGGCGGCCAATGTTGTGCGGATCACAGAATATCAGCTGATATAACAGAAAACGTCTGGGCAAATGTTCGATGGGATTTTCTGAATCCAAATGATTTCGGCTACGATCAAGTCCGCAGTGTAAAAAGATGTCGTTCTGATTCAGCAATTACACCTGTGGCACAGCGAAAACATGAAAATGAAGATATTTATGAAAGATTGCGTGATGATGAAGTAGAGTCTAGTGGCAGTATAACTCCATACGAATCGATCGAGGATTTATATGATCGTATAAAAAATACGCCATATGCTAGTGCAGCAGTGGAAGAATCGTCACCTTCTACAGAAAGCCAATCTGAGCCACAATATCCTGATTACTACGAAAAGTCGAGCACTACTCATCAGAGTTCTACCGGTAGCGAAAAAAGTGGCGCCTCATCCGCGTTTCCATTTTCGAAATGTGGTTCGAGCGATTCAACGGGTGCGTTTACATCGTGCGAGTCGACTAGCGGGATCAGTACTTTCGCTACGAAAAGTATCCCGGAGTCGCTAAAAAGTCGTGAATTGCCGCCTCCACCGTCAGAGGCTGACTCTAGCGAGAGCGCGATTTTGATGAAGCAATTATTTATGGGAGAACTGATGGATGCTTACGGAGAGTTCCTGTCGGCATATCCGTTTGCACGTGCTTTATTAAGACGGAAGGCGCGTCGAGACGAGCACTTTACTGCCCTTGCTGACATCCGCAGAGGAGCTGCCAAACATACAATTGCTGACTATCTGGAGTTACCGGTGAGTAGTTTAAATTTATATCATCTAACTGACGAACAGAAAATTCTATGACATACGTGCTCGTTTACACTAAGAAATCTTTTAAACTTTAATTGTTCCTTCTTTTGATCTTATGTAAGAGCATGATAGATGCGCATTGTTGAATGTAATGAACGTGTGGCTATTTCGTTTAATAAAATGTCGCTATGCTGTCTTTTAAGATTGATTTAGATAGGTCTGGAGGCAGTTAAATCGCGGCCGCGCGACAATGATCTGCGACGTGCGCACGCGCCGCGCCCATTCAATGCTAATGGGCCGGAAGAACGTACGTTGAGCCTCTCGCGGTGATTACAGGCATTGTCTCCCTGAACATTGCCGTGCCCGACTCGGATTTCAACGCCCTTGTACTGTTTTCTTTTTGAAATATTTATGAACTGGATTGTAAAGAAAAAAAATTGGGAACCGTTACATTCAAATACACGTCTTGTAGTATGTCAAAAATATAAAAACGCCAGTCAGAATTGAAAAAAGTAATGTTTAAAATATCGTGAGAGGTAGACAAGGCGCTCCATAACAGTTTTGACATATAGGGGGGAACGTCCGCCATGACGTAACAAATACGGAGTTTGCGTGGAGCTAATGTTGCAGAGCGATAAACCTTACAGATCCTTTTGTACTTACGTGCATGTGTGAAACGCATTCGTGGTTTTGATTCTATCGACTAAACTCGCACGTCTGATGATACATGTAACAAGAGGGTTGTCTCGTGAATCAAGTAAAGAGATTTTTCTAACATCTTATTTCTAACCCGATATATGAAGTTATAGTAAATATATAGTAAATAGATTTAATGTTTTTATTTTTAAATTTAATATAATAGCATGAATTAAGTTTTTAAAAATAACTTTGAGTAGGTAGCCCTGAAACGCAGTAAACCTTGTTCGGTGTACCTGCCAACAATCTGATAGTCAGTTAATGGTTGTCGCTTTGCACTACCAACGCGCGTCTATCTGAACAAACTTTATAGTTGAAAAGATTTGTTTTCAACGGGTATAGCCTATTTTAGTTGACAAAGAGATAGGAATGAATTATCTTGTTTAGTCTTCAATTTTGGTTTTTGCATATAATAATATTACTTTAGGTTTACGATATCTGTGATATGTATGAAGGTATTTTATGACACGATTTTTTGATACTCTTCTTTATCACGATTTATCATACTTTTTTTATTTAAGAGTATTTATTTTTATTATTGCCTTTTACGTTAATTTTAATTCTTTTTTTCTTCATACAATCCACATTCTAGTTTGATTAATTTTTATCTTTTAATCCGAATAATCTGTAATCCGATAATCTATATCTTATATTTAAATAGCATGAAACAAAAATATTTTTTTTATCGTTTTTTTCCTTTCTCATTATAAACAAAAAATAAGGAACACATGTATCTGATTATTTTGGTCAAACGGTTTAAATATTCTTTATTTATAAACATTGAACTCACGATGTACTTACTTACCTTTCGTTTATATCTTGACGTAACTCCATACTTAATTATACCTTAACAAATATTAAAACGGTTTCCGATAGAGTTTGAATTTATTCATAATAAGTTTTGATAAATTGAATCATGAGATTATTAGAATAAAGTTTAGTAAATTTAAGCAGTTACTTTCAATAAAGTACTTAACTGGAACGTTAATAAATAACAATAAAAGTACTTTCTTGTCAAGAAATGGAATGTTCGTTGTAGACTACGTATCTCATGTTAGCTCACTTGACGTGTGTCTTGAAAATTAACCGTTTCGAGTGAAGTAAAATAAATATGTTTTCGGTCAAAGGCGGGATGTCCCAAATTCCATTAGAGTTTCGGAGTGTTTAAAAGCTCATATGGTTGAATAATTTTATTTTGAATGCTTAATGGCAGATACTATGGCAGTAAAATTTAAAACAAACGTAATATATTGTTGTGTTTACTATATAAGGAATAGATATACTCAACTTAAACTATTTAAATTGGTACACGGTAACTTTCTACTGAGCTTATATCATATTTCAACTAAATAGTTCAGCTGTAAGAAGTATTAAAAAGTTCTTAATTGGACCATAATAAAAACAAATAAAGAGTTATCATTTTATTCAGATAAACACGTAGGTACCTGGATTGTGGTTGCTTTATTATTAAGCAAAATCTTAAATTTGCAGGTATTCTTAAGATAAAAATAGGTATATCATAACAACAATAATTTATTTAAATAGTCAACATCTTTGCTCACAGTGTGATAATTATTATTATAGAAATGTTTGAAACAGTTGTTAATATGAGCATTATTTTAATAAAATAACGGTTAATGAATAAAGTAAAAACAATAAAAAAAATACTTTGAGGGTTTAGTCAATGATCTTGATCTCTTAAGTCAGATAATTTATTGCCAATTTAAGAGATCAAGCTTATTCAACACATCCAAGTCATGTAAAAACGAATCGACAACAGTTTTCTAGGTGAACTATAGTTTCTTGAAGATCTGTACATTCCACAGTATTTTAAAAGAAAACAGACTTTAACTATGAAAGCAAAATGGGGTTTCGTGTCTCAACATTTTGCTACTAAGCATATCGCAATATCGACAGGAAAATAATTTCAACAGGAATAGTAATCTGAGGCTAGGAGTGTGAATATATTGCGCGGTATGGCCATGGTCGGAATGCTAAATGATCTGTCCGACGCAGTATGAGATACTAGTACTGGAGTCGCCGACTCCAACATTCTTCATGAAATATATTTAAAGCTTAGTTTACATGTGGGTATATGAACAGGCCATTGACTGAGCGGAACTGGCCTTGCGAGCTACTAATTTACTAGAAATCGTCAACAAGTTTAAGGGTAGACTAGTAACAGAATAACATCGCGTCGCGTTTAATGTTGCCTTTTACGTTAAGAAATATTTGTGTAAGTTTATGTTATATTTCTGTATTATTAAATCGATTGAGATGGCATAGTAGAATAGGTGGAAACCATCGGTGTTGTGTATAACGGACTTAAGGATTACGGAAATTTTACTTTTGTGGCAATTTACGTAAAATTACTCGATAAAAGTTTTATATATATATATATAGATATATATAATAATTGTAGAATAATTTAAGTGATGTCTTAACTTATAAATCATGACGCATAACGAAATTGGATTTTTATCTAATGTGATTGTGTGGTTCGGTCTGAACATTACTGGTTCTTGTTGCAACTTCTAGTTTTTAAGTGACTCATTTTATCTCGCGACTTAAAACAGCCCGTTGATTTATTCTAATCGTTAAAGCAGCACTACTTGACAGGTAGATAATTCGGTTGTAAGATACTACCTCACCCTTCTAGATAACAGAATACTGACAGGTGGCTTAAAAATGTAGTCCGTTGTATATATCAAGGGCATTGGTGATTATTTGTAAACGGGTCTTCACTTCGAGTAAGTAACACTTTCGACATCGTCTATAGTAAACAATGTTTTTTTGAATTTCGTTCTCATTGGTTATTTTATTATACAGCTTACTTCTTCCTACCTCCACTTGTAACTTGTCTGTAACTGGGTCATTGTCCGCCTCAACACCGTGTACACTAGGGCTAACTCTGCTGCGTGTCTACTAAACACCTTTTTAGATCACGATGATCACAGTCGAGAACTAGTCTTATTGAGGACATTAGGATAAGAACATACTCGCGTCGGCATTTTAAACATCTTTAGCCACTTGATGACGTAAGTCATTTAAGCGAATTGTAAGCAAACTGCTGAGTTTTTAACAGGATGGAAATATAGCTTCGTAAATTTGGTAAATTAATTTTCAGATTTTGTATAAATAAAAAAATAACATTTTAGAGAAAACAGTTTATTTTCACTAATTTCATTTTAAATAGGTGCGTAACATTTTGTTCCGAGAAATTTGCTTAATGTGCGGTCAAAAAGAGGCTCCTGTGGTTGAATTTGAAACGTAATTGTAATTGCCATAATGACGACAAAGAATGGAAATAAAAAAATACATTTTAATGATAATCTCAAGTGATATTACTTAGTAAGAAATACATTTGAGATTGCATAACAGTTTACTGTCTAAACGAACCTTGATAAATTTATAAAAGTTACATAAACCGATTTTTTTAACCGATGAAAATTTAAGTGTCTCTATAATATTCGAATTGGCACCGCTCTCACTGCGTCCGGAACGGACATTCTTAGCATATCGAAGAACGTTGTCGCTATTTTTTAAAAAGCGATGCGTATAGTTCGAGAATATACATTTTAAATCGGTCAAACTAAACAACTGCATGTTTTTGCCTTATTGTTATGATTTAATTTTTATTTAACCAGACTTTTTATTAAGACTATTTCTTTTTATTATAAAAGCATTTATGTTATTTGTATAATTAAAAATAAATCTATTAATATATTGCGGCAGAAACAAGAACGGGTAACGTGAGACATTTTGTTAAATATTCGTTTAAATCCGATGAAGGTTTTTATGAGGAGAAAACATAGAACTTCTTAAAAACAAAAATTTGTTTTTGTAAAAAGAAAACCATAAGTAAGTATACCATTTTTTAAGTGAATTAATACTGTAAAATATTTTTATCAGTTAAATTAGACAAAACGAGCTGGTAATAAAAGTTACTAAAAACTGATAAAAGAATTAAAAGTGGCACATAGTGTTTTAGGTAATTAACAAGTAATAATCTTATGGTAACTAAAAAAGAAGTACCAAATAATGATAATCAATAACAATAAAATATGTAATAAAAAGCCTTCACATTGCTTGCGTCGTTTGATCGTGAAATATATTACTAAATAATGTTAGTAGTAACCTTTTATAGACAGAATGGCAAGGCAAGTTGCCTAGTGCAAGATATTATTAAATTTGTCTTAAACAATGATACACGTACAGTTTCGTAACCACTCACATTTTGATTCAGAAGCTTTTCGCAATAGCCGCACCCGGTTAAATTTCGTCTTAACGATTAATGCTGCCTGTAC